GACAGCGTGAGTGCCCAGAAGGAGACGTTTGAGATGCCCATTATTTCCTTCAAATGGAAAAGCAGAAGTGGCCCACAAAGGGCCCCAATCCCCGACACTCTGGTCCAAACGGTCCAAGATGTGTACATTGAAGGACACCCACTCTTCTCCATAAAAGGACTGAAATCTGGCATCGGAATTTCCCAAATGCCATCTCCACTTGTTGGAGCTCAGCTTCCTGTATCTTTTCATTCAACAGGGCACGTACACTGTGACAGCAACACCCAATGATTATAGTGTTACTGAGGAAAGAGGCCATGCAAGAGCACAGGAGATAGCAGGATGAAAAAAATGCCACTCTGCTGCTCTTCAGTGCTTCCCTTCCTTTACTAAAGATCCAGGAAAAATCTCGGGTGACTTCAGATGAAGGCTTTATATAAGATAGCCTCCTATCCACCTCTCTCGGCCGGCCAGTGGACACGTGCGCTGGGGGCTGAACTGGAGACCCAATTCCAAGGACGAATGTGCGCACCACTCCAAAAATCACGGAGTGCTTGTAATCTGGAGAGTACCCCTTGACGAGATGGAAGCTGCACAGAAACACTGGAAGTGAGGGCCCCTTCATCCCTTTAACAGCCTTCATAAATCTAACAGCTTCTCTTGCATGCTTCAGGTAGAGCTTCTTGTCCTCATCGCAGGTATAGGATGGACCATCAGATACACTGCAAAAACCATTACCCTTGCACACAACTTTACCAGAGTGCATGCAAAATCCCACAACCAAACGTTCCATTGAATTGCTTTGTGTTTTGTATCATGGCTTTTGCTGGAGAATCTGCAACACACAGCACAGGTATAGCCTGGATAGGAATGCTAAAACCGGTCCTGAAATCCCAGTGACCCCCCCCCCCCCCCCCTCCATTTTTTTCTTATTCTTATTCATTCTCTCTCCTGTTGCTATCCTGAGACGACCTCAGTTAATGTGTCTTAGCCTTTTTAAAACGCACCTTTTGCCTTTTTATTATGAAGTTGCTATTATTATCTTTAATCTCACTTGTCTTCACACCTAATTTGTACTATTTTTTATATTTTTTTAGACAAGTTTTATTCCTCCTATATTCTTGACCCATGAGGATCTAGGAATATAGGATCTAGACCTTGGGCCTCCGAGACGTCAGTTTCTCCCCTTTAGTAAAGTGTTCGCTGTCGTTATTCATTCCTTCACATCCGGTATCCATGTGAAACTCGAATGACAGGAAGACTATTTTTGCGGGCCTTTTCCGTCTATTATCGGTATAGCTCAAGGCTTCTATGAATTTGGCATGCAACTTTGTTTTTAAAAAAATATGAATTGTTGAATATATTGATATATTTCAATCTCACTTAGGCGAAGACCTCCCTTTTTATCATTTAATATTGACGCATCCTACCGCATCTACAGGGCCAGGTTATTTTCGTCACAGGGAAAACAAGGAAAAACCCGAGTGAAGACGCATGGAACCTGGTTTTCTGCTCTGTCTGGTGCGTCTGACTTCATAGCCGCTTTCCCGTCTACAGTTCTCATTTGACAGTTTGCCCAGAGCGCTGAGAGTAGACCAGGCTACGCGATCTCCGCTCTGGGTGATTCTCAACAGAATCGGCCTATGCTAGGCTACGTGAGCCATCTGCTAAACGAGCTCTGCGTAGGCCAAGCTCATCAGTCATAAATCATGCAGTTTCAATAGCCAGGTTTCCAAGAAAGAATGCATGCATGGAATAAGGTAGTCAGAGATGGAAGGCCCAAGGTCGGTGAACAAAGAAAAAAACAAGTTCAAAACTAGTGCTCTGTAGCCTAGCAGTCGAGGTGCGGCGATGTTCGCGAAGTTCGGGAAGTAGGCTAAGGGCTCGGTTAGGTGCAAAAAGTTTGGCATCGTGGTTCAATCTTGCCGTTTCTTATAATACCTGGTGTTCCAGTCGCTTTGAAAGAATCGCGCGTAACAAAAGAGGGAGAAAGTACGATATCGATCTCTCAAAATTTTCATCTCACGGATGTCGGTAACAGAACGACTCGGAAAGACGGTATCCTCACATCATAACGCAGCGAACCATATGAAAGGGTCACAATTACAACTGAAGAGGCGCGTTCGTTTTTTTTCAGATTTAATAGGGGATAGGGGAGAAAGGAAGGGGATCTGGCAGGAAGGAATTTTAATCCATTGCCTTGGCCGTAAATTCCTATATATGTGTACACCAAAGTAGCAAATATTTAAAGCTTTTTCAAATTTTTTAAAATAATATTATTTTTTTACATTATTTTACGTGAAGGCGTGCTGCCTTGTCTCTCAATTTACAAAAAAGTAATAACTATTATGTGTATTAACTTTTTTTTAACCTAATCCTTAAAAGTTGGGGTCTAAAATTAGTCGCAGCGCGCCTTTCCGCAGGTCCAAGCCAATGAATTAACAAAGCGACGGCGTTACCAATGCCTATCAGCAACGGCGAATCCAAAAATGTCTTAAGACATTTAAGACATAAATGTCTTAATGTCTAATGCCTCGCTTGTTGAAAAGAAAACTGTCTTCAAGCACAGGAGAGGGCAAACTAAAACTGAACCGCACACTTTTTATTTATTCCCGTGAGCGATAACCTGAAGCGTGTCCCACTGCGGAGATTTCAAATCCCCCTTTATTCCTGAAACCCTACGACACATACACATTCACGCATATTTCACATATTGTCTGTCGAAAAAGGATTAGAATCGACGTGGATTGATCCACTTTCACGAAAAGGTTTTCTTTTCCCCTGATTTCCAGGGGGAAATCGGGAGAAGCACACTACGATTGCCTGTTTCCGAAGAATTAAGAATATGCATATTTATGCTTATTTAAAAATATGCTTGCATATTTTGACCTTTCTTCCTGCATATTTATATCCAGAATATCAGCTTATATTAGCGCATAAAAATCCGTTTCTGTATATGATAAAAGAAAGGCCCTCGATTTTAAACCATAAGATTCGAATGCTGAAGCCTCCTTTAGTTGATCGCCCTTTAAGAATCCGTGAACTCCTAGAGAGGAAAGATGTGAAGTAACTATAAGCAATCATCCAGAAGAAGTTGGATATTAAAAATGGACAGCAACCCTCCCCCCCCCCCCCCCCGTAGTGGTAGTTGGGGGGAGGAAACGCCTTCACAGTGCCACTGCCTATCGACCAGGTCACGTCGAACATTTCTTCCATAAAGAATTCATGATTTAGGCTGGCTTTTTCTTTGCTTATGGCTTCGAGAAGCTCTTTTCCCAATTGATTACAGATGAACCAATCGATATCAATAGAACGAGTTTTTTTCTCGATTTTCTTTAGATTTCTCTTCGTTTGCGTTGAGGAAGGGGGCTGTCTACGTTTCTTTTTCTTTCGTATTGCCTCCAATATTGGTGAAATTACATTCATTGCGTCAGACCCTATTAAATATGGAAAAGTCTCTGAGAAATGATGGGTTTCATGGACCAGCATCTTGGTCATGTATTTCTTTTTCAAGGCATTATTAGATCTTGTAATATTTATTATGCCTGTGGCGGGGGGGAATCATATGGTTCGCTTGCATTATATCTGCGTGCCAGTTAACCCTGGGAAGGTACCATTGATAATTATTTTCCCACAATCTGACGAGAAATAAGCTGTGGAACGTTGTAGTTTCAAGTCGAACCCACACCTACGAGGTATGCTTGATGCAGTGTCTGGAACTTAATGCAATTGCCATGAATGTCTAAATCTCATGCGAACTCATATCCATCAACGAGGCAAACTTATTGACATATATTGACCCATTCACCATTTTTTATACCGAACGAAAAAAAAAACTTATTTCCAGCATACGAACTTTCGAACTATGCAAAATTATGTGCCGGTCTTTCCCGTGGGTCGCCCGACAGTATCGGCTTGGCCTGTCGGCATCGTCCCCATCAACATACACGTAATTGGCGCGTAATAGTGGGCTCACATAATGATTCTGTGGCGGTTGATGTCCGTCTTCATAATCGTGTTTGTGGGAAGATCAGATATATGCAAATGTTTAATTCTCGAGCGCACTGAGTTTTTCTCTATAAGGGACTAGTTGTGACCACACCCTTCTCTTCCTGCAGATCTGAAGGGGGGGAAGGCCGGGGAAGGGCGGGGAAGGGACACGCGCTCCCCGTGCCCCCACTATGGATCCGTCGCTGCCTATGAATGTCACAGCTGTCACCGTTGACATCGGGGTCCTTCCAGGAATATTCTTAGGCGCAGTAATTGTTTCGTACAATCAGCCTTGGATGTGGATAGGAAATCGATGGGGGGACCAGTGCTGTCCAGTCGCTTCGATCGAAGTGTCGTGCATCCATTTTCCCTTAGCAAGTTACCATTGTGTGCTAAATTATTATAATCACGTTCTTAACGATCTTTTACATTGTGCAATGCAAAAATTATTATTTTGCAGGTGCTCTTTAATACTTTATCAGCAGAGCCTTCAAATTGAAAAAAGTAGTAAACATCTATCTTGAAGAAAACATTACTAATGTTATTTCGAGGAAACTGGCCTATTTTCAAAGCATTGTTCGCGGTCACTTGTGTCTTCACTGTGCTCCTCAGTTATAACATTTTATCTCAGGGTCAAAAAGATTGCAGTAGCTGAAAAGTGAGTAAAGGGGACTTCAATGTCGTATCCCTTCTTGCATTAATAGTTCCCTCCCTCGTTGATTTCGTGAGCTGAGGTTAGAGCTATGAGCCGACTTGTGACTAAGGCCGTTGTGGTGGTATGAACCATCGTATGAACCATTGTTGAATTCACCATTGCATATATATCATTTAAAAAAATAACCTCTAAAGAACTCTCAATGTCAAGTCTTCGGACAACCCTGGAAATGGGTCGAGGGCGTCAGGATCGGCATCATTCATGCATTCACACGTGTTCGGTCACTTAGCAGCAAGGAAAGCTGGTCGATGAACGATCGACCAAGCGACGGACTTAGTCCCGAGTTGAGGATCTAGGTCGCTCTTGACCTCGACGAACAGCGTAGCTCCCTCCATACAACATGGGTGCCGCGGCGGGAAAGGAAGACCAGCCGTATGAAGCGAGGTCGGATCCCCCGGGGGTCGTGCAGGGTCGAGGCCGTCTCAGGCCGAGCCGGGTGGAATCGTCCGTGCCTTCTCCCCGCCTTCCCGTCGGCGGTGACCGGAAGAAAATCCATTGGCCGAATCGTCTTCCGGATGAAGCGGACAGTGGAGACGAGGGGGAGAGTTCTGGTAAAGTACGCTTCAACGAGGAAATCCGGACCGAACTCATCCGAGATGGGGAGGAGGAAGAGGAGGAGGTGGTGAGCGAGCTGGAGGCGACCTTGAACAGCCTCGGGGTGATGCCGGGTTCGAATACGAGGTCGATGGAGAAAGAAAGAAGACCCCAGACCAGGCGGACCTCCAGGACTCGGACGATCCGAAGGGACAGCAGGCAGATCCTTCCCCAAGGGCTTCCACTACAGAGACGTCTTTCGACTCAGCAGCCTTCCGATGTAAGTCTCTTTTTCTCATACTGTCTTACTGATGGGCCACGGCGCAGGGAAATTAAAAAAACTCGGCATTTGTAGCATGAAACCCTCTAAAGTGACATATGTTTGCATGTTCCTAACCTGTCACTGCAGGGCCTATGACTATGACACTGACTAATGACACTGCAGGGCCTATAGAAGCTAACTGTTGGAATTTTTATGTGCTGTGGCTCAACACTGAAAACCGGTTCATCACTGACTATTTTACCCTACAGACCGAATGAAAGTACTTTTCTTGCCATCATCAACTGTTATGACGTCGCAGTTGTGCAGTGTTGCAGGAATTCACTTCCTTGAAATTCATGAACAGAAGTTGCATGTTTTGTACAAACCCTTTGCTTCAATTCCTGTCCCCTAGAGATTTCCATCTCACCTTAAAAGCCTGTGGGTGAAGATAATTTTATGTAACCCCCAACCAATAATTATGAGGAGCGCATACTACTTATGATTCAAAAAATTTCGTTCATGTTATTCCGAGCAATAGCAACCCTAAAAAAAAATTATGATGCGAATTTCACTGAGATATCGGATATGGTTTGACGCTGATAATTTTTTGCTTTTTTTGCACAAAGTGTGTCCTCTACCGCTGTTATTTTTCACCATTGGTTATAAGTAGGACTGTCACGATAGATCGATGCATCGATACCACTATCGACGGTTGGCGGTATCGATTTTCGACCATCGCCATGTATCGGGCAAATGACGTTAAAGGGAAAATGTCCCATTGGATTGAGGCGAGTACAGTACAATACGGTCCGTCCGGGCGGGGAAAGGAGGAGGCAGCGTGACTCGCATGGGCGAGCAATTTCTGTCACGATCAAATTCTGAAAATACTGGGACTGACTATATGAAAGAAGGGAAGGGGGGGGGGGGGAAACAAAAACAAAACAAAACATGTTGGATCGGAGACAAGAAATGGGAAAGGAGAGGGAGGAAAAACCGAGAATATTTTTTTATCTTCAGATTCAGTCTTCGGCTCGATCTCATAAGGTGCTTCCTGCAAAAGTGAACTGTTCTTATACTCCCTTGATTTCGAAACGTAAATTGGCTAATCCCTTCTATATTCCTGTCTTTCTCTTTAGTATGCTCCCTTACGTTTTTTAAATTTTTAACTTGCCCTGGGACATTTTACCTCTTTACCTAAACCCAAACCCAAAGTGAATTTCTTACATGGACGTTGCTTATTCTATGGCTGTACCGATTTTTCGGCAACTGTCGGTATGGCACCATCGGCAGGTTTTCTATCTGTCGGTGCCGATATCCAAAGAAGATCGTGTAGAACGAAGAAAAAGAAAAAAAACTACGCGAACGGGCTTGGCAACTGATTCTCAACAGCAATTTAAAAAAAATGAAGGCTGCCCTGATGCATGCATCGATGAATGGATGTCATCTTCGATAGTTGGAGGCATGGTAGGTTTTATTACTGCCTGCCAAGGTCACACCTTCTCCCCGCACACCCCGATCACTAGCGTGAGATTTTGGAAGACGGGTAGAGGTCTGCGCTCTGATAGAGACAAGACGCGATGGAAGACAAACCTCCCCCCGATCGCGGCGAGAAAAGATTGAATCCTCCTCCCCCCCTCCCCGATGCATCGATGTTTTGAAAACTGCTATCGTGACAGCCCTAGTTATAAGTGGATGTCACGAACCCATCAAGCAGCTCAGAAGTGCATAGTGTAGGAGCAACATAATCCTCCCCTGCGTCTTACTTCTCCCCTTGGAGGTAAATTTTTCTGTTTATAAGCAGCGATTGCCTCGGATGCTAGCAGTCACAACTTGGACACAAAATCCCCCTCATCTGCATTGATGCTTTACATTTCGGAGCAGAGACGGTGGTGCTTATATACAGTATAGAACCATCTCGTCACGACTGACAAGAGCGTGAAGTCATTGTGCCAGCTATACCAAATCACCAATTATTTTTTGCTCATAGTCAGATTTTTCAGTGAAGATGAAATCACAGGTTAGCCGACGATGAGTATTTACTCTTCCGAGCTGTTTTCACCTTGAATCTTTCTTGCATCTCGTAAAAAAATACAAATACGTAGCGAGTAGGACAGACTATAAATGATTTCAGTGTTATTTTGGGACTGGCCACACGGGAAAGATTAAATATATATATATATATTCAAATTCATGCGGAGATAATTCCGAAACCGGCAGTGAGCGTCATGAAACTCTGACGTAAGAGATGACACGAAGACCTGCCTTTGGCCTTACCCATCCGTCGATCTTCAAACTGCATGCCATGGCCTAGAGCCATGGCCTAGAGAGCAACAGAACGATTTCTTCTTATATATGGGCGGGCATATATCAGAAGAAATTGTGCATTTTCGGATAAAAGAATGCAACTTGAGAATTGAAGGTCAGACAGGGATGATCATTCTCAGACGTGAATCCATTTCAGCTATTGATCTGCCAACGATTGCTCGTAAAGTCCAATCCCTCTCTGAAAATTTAATTTCTTTCAACTGATTATCACCTAGGCGTATTTTATGACGTGTTGCTTTCTGTGCGAATTGAGGAAAAAACAGATAACAGTTATCCGCATCTAGATTATCTGGGTTGCCGGAGTTCTGGATTTTTTCCGTACCTATGTAATAAAATAGGTCGTGGCAACCCTGTCACTTCCCCTCCACTTCACAAGAGGATCGGGGGATTCCCCGTGCATTGCATCTCGAGTTTTTCACGTTGCAAAGGTGAGCAAGCTGACTCGTATTCTCCGATAAAATAACTCAGGGAAAGGCATTGTACAGCGATGCCATTGGAGTAAAAGGGGAAAAAAAGGAGTGGAGGCGCCGGGTATCGATCCCGGTACCTCTCGCATGCTAAGCGAGCGCTCTACCATCTGAGCTACGCCCCCTGCTGCCGAAAGTAAATCCCATTTATGAGTTGTCAAATCTACCTTCATGAAAAACATGATGGGGTGAGGGGGGCCAGCCTCTTTTTGTGGACCGTGACCTCCATTCAGTTCTGTGAGAATCGAAACCCCAATAGAAAAGGAAAAGGGATTGAATAGCGACGGTCTACAACGGAATGCGAATGAAAGGTGGCGTGTTCGGGAAAGTCTGCATCTGGTCCTTTTCTTTTTCCTGGACGGTCGAGGTGAATTATAGCGTACGGTAATGCCGTTCCTTACAGTAAGGACAGACAAAAGATTCCGATACCGGAGGAGTAATTTGCATCCTATCGACCAAAATTTGCGCTGCAGAATCGCCCTCTGGGAGTAGACGAATTCTCATGGTTACGCTCTGTAAAAAAAAAATTCCTATTGTCCTACCAAAAATCCATACATCTCTTCCATAAAGGCGAGAAAGGAGAGAGGCAAGAATGTCCTTATGGGTAAAATAGGGGGGGGGGGGGGGGGGGGGCTGGTGTCCTCTGCCGATCGAGGTGTCATTGACCCTGAATGTCGGAACTAATGAGACCACTAAAACGTTGCCACGAGGTCACGATCGCCGAGCTGAGACAGACGATAGGGGCCCAGGGTCCGGTAAAGTCAAGGAAAAGGGTCACGAATGGCGCGATTTTAAGCCTCTCCGACGAGGGCGACATCAGCTGGTTGGGGTCGTGCGTATGCGATGGGTTCAGGGAGATCGAATCCCACGGGGAGCTCATTTTAATGCACTCGTTAGTCTTTGAAACCGCGAAAGTCTCATAGTTAGGGATTCTGTCCACTCCGAAGAGGGAGCCAGGGAAGTTCCGGTTGCATATTTATTTATTTATTATTTTTATTTTAGTATTCTAGGCCTTTGAGCGAATGCTCGCGGGCTTGGGAACCATAGCACGGACACTTTGGAGGCAAAAGCACTGGATGAAGATGAAAGATTTCTATCGGAAACCCAGAACCAGTCCTCCCCAATTTAAGAGGCATGCATTTCTTCGAGCTTAAAACACTTCTCATTTGCAGCAGCTACGTCTCAGAGCAACCCCCCCAGTTCCGTGCTTGGATTTCCTAAGGTACATTCCCATGAAAGAAATTCAATTCATCAGAATATCTTTTGGCGGAATCCGTCCTACCGTCTCGACTCAAAAATGGGTTGGCCCATCCAACGCACCAGTACTTGCTAGACGAACCAGTTCCTCCACGGAAATGTTGCAAGTATTTAGATTCCCCGTAGCAAGGTCGCTTTCACTTTTCAGGTAGCTGCGGAGAGCACGTAGAGTGACGTAATACGAAACAAGTCCGGGTTGAACCGATTTCACTAAGCGAAAGCTGATGCTTGTAAGGAAAGGATGAGTCATGCGATCCAAATCATTACAGTAAAGGCTCGATCTAGAATTCATTAGGGGGTAAAAATGGGTGAAGGCAACTCAATTCAACACTGCTGAGTGAATATTTCTTGAGGAAATGAGGCGAATCTCCGATGTCTCCGATCCTGGGAGTATTTTTGAGATACGTGTTCGCGGTGGCTTTCATCTCCACTGTGAGAGCACATGACACGTCGGTGGCATCACATCTCATTTGTTTGCACGCATCTGTTTCCGCTTAGTAAAATTGGACCAGTCCCCGATTTTCCCCAAATGTACGCTCCTCAGCTGCCTGAACGACGGAAGAAACCTATGGAGCACGCTGTACGTTCCGTTGAAGTGGAAGATTTTGCTGTAAGGCGAGATATGCACATTTCATGTTTTATTTCATGCGCTTTTTGGGGTTAATTCAATTAAATTTTGAATTATGTAAGTACAGATAAATATTTTTGAGCACAATGTTTCAGTACTTGACAGTCCTGAAGTATTAATACTAGTACATAAGAACGTGCTCAAAAACGGAACCATTTCAGACAATTGTGACCTCGTGTATCTTTATCGGCCTGGCAGTGTTTCATGTATGGAATTCTATTTAAATTTTCAGCATGCCAGTGATAGTCCGTGACGAACTGGGTAGGGTCTTTAAGGGAGGGGGGGGAGGGGCTTGAGGAGTTACAGTCTTGCACGGTTTCTCTGGAAGAAGTTCTTTTTAG